ATACAATTATGGCGTGTATGAATTAAAAATAATTAAATATAAGATTCACAAATTGTATATTATTTTATACTTTGTAAAATATCCAATAATTCTCCTAATCATCAAAGTCAAGAAAGTACAGAAAGTAATTCAGAGGATTCTACCAAACTAAATATTAATTTGGGTGCTTTACAAAAGTCTGCATCAAACGTATTTCATGTATAATATATCTCTATACAAGAATTTAGTGAAGGTGATTTCATAAAGTATACATCTTAAAGATGGAAGATAGTAATGAATATATTGGAAGAGTAGCATTTCCTGTATATCCACAATAGAAGACAGAATGTGAGGTGGTAGTTATAGAGTATATTCATTTAAATACATATATTCCTGTTTCCAAAGTTTATTATTGGAATAGTTCTGTTAATAATCCGGTAGGAACAAAATATATTTTAATGCAGTATTTACCTGGTATTCATCTTTGTGATATATGGAGTAATCTCAACATAAAAAAAAGAAGGTATTTCTTTTAAAAATTATAGACATTCAATAGGAACTTAAAAAATTTACATTTTCAAAAATTGGTAGTATTTTTTTCGATAGTAAAAATGATCAATTTAAACTTAGTCAAGTGATTGAAAGTATCTTCTTTACTAGTGAGCGGGCAACTTACTCACTATAGAACAAGGTTCTTTCAAAACAACAAAGGAATATATCTTAGCAGTTATTCGAAATCAGATGCATTACTATAGCATGTTTAAATCTACAAAAAGCAAAAGTGTTTGATTCCAAAATATGAAGAACTATATCAATTGGTACCAAAATATTTTCAGGATGATAGAAATAACATGTTTGTATTAACGCATGTAGACTTTCACACATCAAACATTCTTGTCAAGAATGATAAAATAAAAGGAGTCATAGACTGGGAATGTTCTGGTACATTTCTAGTAGGTGTTTATGTACTTATCCAGTATAGATAACTAACAATCCTATGATAGAACAAAATAACAAAAAGTCTAGAGAAAATATAATATTACAAAAATTTTTTCGAAGTGAAATGTCTCATCGTGACCCTGATTTTATACGAACAATAAACAATATAGATGAAGAAAAAAAAGAATTTTATTCCACAGTGTTTAGCCAAAAAGTATAGAAAATAGATAATTTTTTAAATAAATTCGGACTAAAGTAATTTTCATATAAGTCCTAAAATAATACAAACTAATAGTTTTTTAGAAACTACAATTTATAGTAACTATTAGTTTACAGATATATTAATTTTCAAATTTATTAATCAAAGGTTTTAAGAAAAATGGTAAAGTATTTTATAAATGATATTGCCCAGAGTTAGTAATCAAATTTATCCTTAATTTTGCCTAAGCTTATTTATAATTTGCCTAAAATTATAAAAATCTCCTTATATTGTCTTCCCAAATTAAAAAATTTTTACAGCTCAAAATATAGATTAGAACTGTGAATTACAATACATACAAATAAGCTATTTTACAATAAACTAATCTGTTTATTTATATAAATCAATAGTTTATAGTTCGCACTCTAGCTCATATTCAATTTATTTAATTAAAAATTTTTAATTAAATTATCTATTATTAAATTATCTATTATTAAATACAATCCTAATAATTCAAATTAAATAATATTCTTTTCCTATTTGTTTTATTTAATTATTAACTGATTTAGCCAGATTTTGATAAAAATAATTATTATTATTGATTTGGTTCAATAAATTAAAAGAATATGAGTGAAAAAAATATAATTAATAAAGCAAATTCTAATATTTTCTGAATTTCAAGAATTTTATACCAAATTAGAGATTTGACCTTACAGCTCTACTTGTTATAAATTAGTTATAGTTATTATTTTAACTAGACGATTTTTAATACCACCCCCAGGAAAAATTCACCATTGTGATATATATTTTAAATCTAATTGCAAATGCATAAGCAAAAATGTAGTAAATGCAGTTTTATTTTTAGTATAAGACAAAATGAATATAAAAGATGCCACAAAATACAAAAATCAATAGAAAGAGAAAAACTAAAACATAGGGGAAAGAATAAAAAAAGTAAAACTTATTTACTGTAGCAGATTAAAATAAAATAGTCAAGCCACGAAAATACAAAATTTTGAGGTGCCGTCAGTCCAAAATGCTTTGGCAAGCAATTATATAAATAATTATTAACTCCATTAACTTAAAATTATAAACGTTAATATAAAAAAATTTGACAAGAAAATAGAAACTAGAAATTTAAAAAGATTAAAGTATAAAATAAGATCAAAATTAAAAGAAGTAAAGAAAATATAAGAAACAACTGAATACTTTGAATTCTGAAGACGAAAATAGTCAAAATATAAGAGAACTTTCGAAAATTGATATGAAAGACACAAAAAATCATTAGATACTTTGGGTATCGAGTCAAAATTTTGATACTTTATTTTCAAGCATTAAAAGTAAGTGATTTTTCACTACATTATTCTACTAATATTTTGAAATAACTACTTTCTATTGCTGCGCCACCAATTAATTAGGTTTAAATAATTGCAATTAATTGCACCCACAATTAATTATTTGGTAGGCCTGATAGTAACCATAAGGCTCAATATAATTTAGTAAACTTTTTTATTTCAATAAATTGAATATTCCAGTAGATAAAGAAAAGGGCAAGAAAATTTTAATATTAGAAGCAAAAATTTTGAAAATTTTATATTGATGTAACCTTATTATTCGAATTAATTGAAATTCATAGCAGTTTAAAATACTGAACTGAAAATAATTTGAAATAATTATTTAAATATGACTTTTAAATATATTGATAATTCAAAAATACAATTCTTAATTAAATAAATAAAATAAAATACAGAACAATTATTTCTGAAAATCCAATCTAACGGAATGCAATTTTATAATTTGTTAATTTTCAAAAAAAAAAATTAAATTAAATTAATTCTGAATTCTTACTCTCGTTTTAATATTTTTTGATTCAGATAGATTTCCAAAAATGGGAAACTAAACTATTTTAATTTTTCCAGCACAAATAAACGTGATTGTAAAGAAGTGTGACTAATATAGAAGTATTTTCTTTATAGTTATTATTTCTTAGCTCAGAACTTTCTCTTATAGAAATCTGGTTAAAAATATTTAATGCTTTGTTGTATTCCTCTTTATTGGCAAGTTTTCTGCAAACTCAAAAGCTTTTTTTCATTTTTTTCTATATACTATTCATGGAGATAGCATTCAGCAGCTAAATATTCAGCTTGAGATTTGATAATGGGTTCTTTACAATTAAGTAGACTTTGAATTATTTTCTACACTTCTTGATGTCTTGCTTCTCTTTTATAATTTGAAACTTTTGCAAGGTTAATAGCGTAGTAGTGTTTATCAGGTCTATTGTTCCACAAAAAAAACTGGCATTTTTAGTAGCTATAAAGGTAGTGTTTCACTAAAGGTGCCTGAACTAAAAATTGTATTTTTAATAATATGGAAAACTCCACACTAGAAAAAGGCTTCATTTTGTATTCCCACATGCCTGTAATCAGTAGCAAGTCTTCAAAGTCACCAAATCCAGACCCAGAACTGAACTGGAACTGAAAACTTTGAAGGACTTTGAAGGCTTGCTACTAGTGACAGGTACATAGAAAATACAAATTAAAGCCCATTTCTGGTATAGATTTTCCTACACTATTATATATATGGTTTTCAGTTCGAGTACCTTTTTTGGAATACTACTTTATGCCAACTAAAAATGCTATTTTTAACCAGTTCTTTTTTGTAAAACACTAATCAGATCTACTGAATAATTGATTGTGAGGGCAATTAGCCAATTAATTGCAATTTTTTGTAAAAATTACGTAATTAGTATGTCATATCGTATTTGCTATCAAAAGAAGAATTATATTCATTTCCTGCGCCAACTTTAGTAATGTAATCAATTAAATTAATGATTACTGTATTAAAATAATGCCCCAGGGTGTGGTTTAAGATACTGGCCTAAATTAAGGTTGAATTAAGCCAAAATTTTAAACCACATCCTGGAGAATTATTTCGCGACAATATAGTAATTAAATTTATATCACATAAATTATATTGATATTTATTTATTTCTAATTTAGCCAACCATGCGTGACAAATAATTTGAAAATATTATTTATACAATTATGTGATATAAAATATATATTTACTACTTAAAATCGTATTACACCACGATACTTACAAATTCAAGTTTAATTTTACTAGATTTAAATTTTTTTTTTATCCTGTATACGGAAAATTGAATTTAATTGCAATTAATTGCAATTATTATTAATCTAACTCAAACGGCGGCACTTTTCCAACCAACGATCACCTCAACACCTTTCTACTTCGATTAG